CTGCCGCGCGTGCGGATGAACGGGGTGGAGGTGACGCGGGGCGCGCCGGTGGTCTTCAAGCGCGAGCGGCTCGGCTTCAACGCGAGGCTGAAGGGTGCGTACGAGACGCCGCTGCACTGGGCGCTGCAGTGGCACACGTACGTCTTGCTCTGGCGAGGCGCTGTGAACGGCGTCTCTTCACACCTCCAAGCTGTGAACAGGCACACGTACGTCTTGCTGTGCTGCCGCAGCATGGTGTCGGCCGAGGCCGTGCGCTCCATCTACCTGCCTCCCAGCTGTGAACAGCGTCTCTTCACGCCTGGAGCTGTGAACAGGCCGTGCGCGCCATCTACCTGCCCGTCGGCAACCCGGAGACGCAGTGGCTGTACGGCGCGACGCAGCAAGGGTACTCGCTGCGCTTCGAGCTGCCCGCGTCGCTGCTCGAGGAACATCTCGTCTTTTGCAGCGTCTACGACCGCGCCTCCTTCCCGCTGCTGCCCTCGCTGCAGGTGGAGCGGCCGTCGCACACGCTGCCGCCGTGTGGCGAGGACGGCTTCTGGGCGACGAGGATCGTGCGCAAAGATGGCACCGCCACGAGGCCGGAGGTGCTTCCGTCGGTGCGGGTCACTCTCGAGCGGCCATCGCGCACGGCGCTGCACTGAACAGGCGACTGGGGCAAGGCACCGTGCGCGCGCGACGCCGGCCCCGCGAGCGGGAGGAGGGTGGCCATCTTGTGTTTGCGCATGTGCGCGTTGCATGATTGTTATCTTGGTTGTGGCCAGTTGCGGGGCCGCGGGAGAGATGCCGCTGCACCGAAACCGTTATGCTGTGTGGCATGGAGCGATGAGCATGCGGGGCGACGGGACAGGAGACGCGAGAGCGAGCAATTTGTGCGCGGGTGCGCGGGAGCGGGGCCCGGGGGTTGACATTATTTTTTCTTCATTCTTGATGTGGTTGTGGCTTGTGCGCCAGTGCATGCACCACAGCAAGAGACGCAAGGAGTAAGGGGAAATACCGTACGTCAGTAGACAGTAGTAGCTAGAGAGACGAGCGAGGAGAGACGCACACGCTCGAGGCGCACGTCGTCATATCAGCGTCGCACGCGGTGCCGGTGGTGCGAGCGCCGTCGCGCCTCCCCAGAGCTGCGACACCGACTGCGACCAGCGCCACGAGTTCGCGGGGGGCGGCGCCGGCGCGGCGAGCGAGTCGCGGATCGAGGCGAGCGAGGGGCGGAGGTCGACGGAGCCTGAGGCTGGAAAGAAGCCCCGCGCTGCTGAGCCCCGCTCTGCGACAGGGCCGCCTGGCGCCTTCTCCGGCTCGCGCTCCGCCCCCTCCCCCTCGTGGCTCGCCAGGAACTGCTCCAGCCTATTCACAGCCCCCTCTCTAGTCGCTTGCAGCTCTCTCTTGTTTCGCCCGTTGCCTCGCAGGAGCTGCTCCGCCTGCGCACGACGTGGCTGTTCTGCCCCTGATCGTAGCCCGCGCGGTACACCAGCACCAGCACCGCAGCCACAAGGACAGAGAGCGGCACCGCCGCCATGATTGCCATCGGGACCGCCGTCGTCTTGACCTGCGGTGCGCAAACCTCATCGTCGCCGCTCTGCCGCCCTGTAAACTCGACGCGTATAGAGGTGTGCGGCGGGTGCTTTCATGGGGCGGGGCGCGGGCGAGCCGCCGCCTGGTCGATCGCGTCGTCCTTGTGTTGCAGGATCACCGTGTCGATGAAGGCGCGGAGCTCGGCCGAGTCGCTCACCTCTTTGAAGATGGGCTTGAAGGCGATCCGAAAGGCGCGGCCGATCTCCGCCTGCGCGGCCTCCGTGACCGCAGCCTCCGAATCCTGCAGCGCGTCTTCGGGGCCGTACCCCACTCGCACCTTGGACGCCAGCAGGTCCGGGTCAAACTGCAGCGAGCTCCCCACGGACTGGAGCGCCTCGTTCACGGCGTTGACCTCTCTCTGCACCTCGTCGCGCGCGCCCTCCGCCGCCGGCGAGACCGAGGAGACCTCGACGGCGTTGTCTGGAAGTGCAATGCTCGCGAGGAAGGTGGCCTGGTCGCCGCCCTCCGCGCGTGGCTGCGCCGAGGGATCCGCAGAGGCGCCCGAAGGCTTCACCGGCAGCGCTCTTGCCACGGGCAGGATGAGCGCTGCGACGAGTGCGACGGGAGTCCGCAGCGCCACCATTGCTGCGTTCTGGGGACCCCCCTCTTGGTCGACGGTCTGTGTAGCCCCCCTCGGTCCCTTCCCCTCGCCAGCTTGCGGAGCTGACCCCTGTCCCCTCGGTCAGCAGGGTCCGGGGGGGCGGAGCCCCGGCGCGGAAATTCGGCGTGCCCTTGTGTGCGCCTTGAAGAATTAAGATACAAGCCTCTCTTGATTGGCGGCCATCCGCGCGTAATCTAGTGTGCGTGTCTGCAGCCTCCTGCGGTCCTGGAGCTAGCAGTGGAAGGCGGCCGGCGGTGGGGCGAGGGGGGGGGGGGGTATGGTCCCGACGGCGAGTACAACGAAGAAACGGGACGCTGCACTTCAGGCACGCGAATCTTGCCCTGTTAGATTGCCCTGTGCGCCACTAGCGCCACCCTAACTTATGCACGCTTGCACACCTCGACAGTAGTCAGAACTTGTTTCTCTTCATACACGCGTTGAGAAGGGCCCAGAGCTTAGAGACTACCCACCATGCAGAGCGCATCTCTCTCTCTGTTGTGCGAGGCGTGAACCGCGCCATTCGCTCTCACCTGGCAACCCTGTCTGCACGTCTCGCGCGCGCGTGAACAGGGCTCCAGGCCCCAAATTACGTGTGAGTGTTAGAGCTTATACACCAATACGTTTTATGATGTGTACGACCTTCGTACATGCATATGCACCGTGGGTCGAGGGCAGCCTCTTCTCTCTCCGTCCCTTTGCGCCGCCGCCCGCCGCCGCCCTCTGCTTTTCCGCGCCGCGTCTGCGAAAAAAGAATTGCGGGAGTGCGGCGAGTGTGCGGGATGTCTGTGGGCCCGAGAGCGATATGCCATGTCCGCCTTGCGTTGTTTCATAACATCGAAGGCTAAGCTCAAAAAGAAAAAAAGAGCGGGGGGCGGGGACAGACGATTCCAGAAATGGTTGTGTCCCCGCTCCTCGCTCGCCCGGGCGGAGGGCATGGCCGCGGAGGAGGCGAGTACGCGCTGCCAGGCCTTCCGCAGACAGCCTCTTGGCCAGACTGAGGGTCGGCTTTGTGTGGCGTGGCCCGTGCGCTGCGCTGCACAAAGCTGCGTAAACTGCGGGAGCATCCTGTGCTTCCTTTGGGAAGTGCGCACTTCCTGCAGCTGGTGGAAGGCCGTGCCGCCGCTCGTCTGCTCCGTGGACAGGGCGGGGAGGCGACGCCGCAGCGCCGCAGCGTCCACTGCACGCCGGTGCAGCACTCTGCTGCCTGGTGGGCAGCATGCTGGTGCTGTGCGCGACGTTTTCGAGGCTGCAGTGGCGCTGCACCGCAAGCCACGGCGAGCGGCACGCGGCATGCGCGGCGCCACGCTTGGCCCGGACAGCGCCAGAGAGTGCCCTCGATGGGCCAGCCTGCGCGGCGCGAGCGCCGCACAAGCTGACGCATCGTCTGCCATTCTCTGGTCGACGGCGGTCAATCTCACGATTGTCGATCAAAACCGGCGGGCTTTGTGACGCCGTTTACGCAATCGTTTTTGGCTTCGCTTTCTCTTTTGCTTGTTTTTATTTTGTTTTTTCTTTTGCGAAGCGACGGAGGGGGGGGGGCGGGCGGGCGCTAACTATGGGCAACTACATGTCGAAGGTTCGAGGACGACTACTCGCCGCCTGGGTCGTTTGGGGCGCGCGGCTCCGTCGAGGACCGGGCGCGCCCCTTACCCGGCGCGGCGTAGGTCCCACTCTGACGTATAGAGGGGAGGCACGGACACCGGCCCAATTCATCAATTCCACTCATCTTCTGGTGCCTAGCCCCGTGCAGCGGCGGTCCGGCAGGCTGCCCCCAAGGCCCCCTGGGCCGCTGCGGGTTTTGGAGTTATGCTTTGGCACAGCTTCGGCGATGGCGGCCCCTCTCTGGGGCTTGCATAGGCGGGGAGTCTCCCCCGCTGGTCTCCTCATTCCCTTTTTCTTTTTCTTTTGAGAGCAGGACGCCGGGTTTGTCTTGTATGTGCGTGTCGGGGTGTGTGCGCGGGGCGGCAAGGGGCGGGGGCGTGTGTCGGGGTGTGTGCGCGGGGCGGAGAGGGGCGGGGGCGTGCAGGGCGGAGGCCCAACGTCGGGCAGCTTGTCGGGGCCGACGAATTCGAAGGGGGGGAAGGGGAGGGGGGAATCGGCAGTCGGCGTCGGAGTAGCAGGCTGCAGGGCGTACGGGGTAGCCGTCACTTTCCTGCCTCGCAAGGGCGGGGCTGTCCCGGAAAGTGAGAAACGCCGGGCAGCGTGGCGCATCATTGAACCCTCCCATACGTGCTTGTGCTTCCTCCTTCGGGCTGTTCCATCTCCCCATCTCTTTCCCGCCTGGGGCGGGGCAGCGGGCGGGCGCGCGGTGCAGTGCGGCGTGTGTGTGCGAGTGATGGCTGCTACCAGGGACCTTGGGCTTGTATTATTAACAACGAAGGCGCTCTCAAAAAAAAGAATTTACTTGCCGGTGCCCGACGGTGGACCTTGCGTTGCGAAGCGCGAGCTCAATGTGGGTTACCACGCGCTTGCAGCCGTCGGCTGCCCAATCCGACCCGACCGACCCCTCTCCCCACGCAGGTCGCAGAAGACCTCGCTGCTTGGCAGCGACGGCGAGTCGAGCACTCCGGAGAGCGCGTACAAGGCGCGCCTCGCGCGGGCGCGTTCCGCCAACCTGAACCGCCGGCAGAGCAGAACAGACTCTTCTTCGAGCGCGCTCAGCCCGGAGAGCTCCCTGCAGTCGAGCCCCAGCGCTCCGCCGCCCGCGCGCTCCGCCAGCAAGGAGACCCCGCGCCCGCCGCCCGCCGCAGCCGGTGCGGCGTTTGAGCTGCTGGCTGCGGGCGAGGGGCATGCGGGCGCGTACTGGTCGTACTCGGAGCCGCGCGGGATGCTGGGCGTGGTGGACCGGTCGCAGCTGCTCCGCATCATCGACAAGACCGGCCAGCTCCTCTACCGCGTCCAGCTCCCCGCCGAGGGGACCACCATCTTCCTCGGCTGGGAAAAGTCGGGCGCGGGTCTCGCGGCGGTGCAGCGGCTGTTAACAGCGTGCCTTCACACTTCGCGCTGTGAACAGGCGCGGTTCTCGCGGCGGTGCAGCGGCTGGGCGGCGCCTTCCTCTGGTTCCCCGCGAGGCCGGAGAACGTGCAGCAGTGGGAGGGGATGCAGTTCTCCACAAAGGTGCTCAAAAACTCTCTCGTCAAGCGCAACTCTCACTTCGACACCTGCTTCGCCTGCTGGTCCGACGCGGGCAAGCTGATGCTCGGCCTCGCCGACGGCAACTTCGCCATCTGGGACCTCGGCTCGAACGAGACCTTCATGTCGCGCACGCACTTTCCAGGAAAGCACCGCAATGCCATCACCTGCGGCGCGTGGACTCCGGACGGAACGTCCCTCGCGCTCGGGTCGGCGACCCAGCTCAAGGTCTCTGCGCCCATCGCCAACGCGAGCTGGGAGGGCACCGCCGCCAAGCTCGACCTCGCGGCCGGCGTGTCGGGCGGCTTCCAAAAGGTCTCCTTCTCGTCGGACGGCCGAATGCTCGCCGCCTTTGCCGGATTGTCCGTCTTTCGCGGCCTCACGCTGTGAACGGCGTCTCTTCACACCTGCGGCTGTGAACAGGCTCGTCCGTCTTTCGCTCGCTCGGCATCTACTCGGTCAAGGAGGGGGGCGTCGCCAAGAACGGCGCCATGCGCGTGCTGACCCCGGTCGGGGAAGTCAAGCCGTCGCCGAGCCTCGGGTCGCTCCAGGCGGCGCTCTGGCTCGGCCCGTTCACGCTGGCGGTCGTGTGCGCCACGGGCCGCGTCAAGCTGCTCCAGTATCTGCGGCACGAGGACTTCTTCACGCTGACGGAGGAGAGCTGCGCCGTGACCGAGGCGGGCGTCGTCACCGCGGCAGTGCTCGCCACGGGGCACGTCGCCATCGCGCACTCGTCCAAGGTCGCGCTGTGGGACCCATTAGCCCATTAGCTCAGTGTGATTGATGGATTGATGAATCAATTGACTCCTCCAAGGTCGCGCTGTGGGACCCGGTGGGGAAGCGGACGGTGCAGGAGGTGGCCCTGCCAAAGGCGCCCAAGGACGTGCGGCTGACCGAATGCATACACCAATAGTCATCCCCTCAATGATATTCATTAGGCGCCCAAGGACGTGCGGCTGACCGCGCTCGAGCACACGCCCGATCTCCTCCTCGTCTCGCGCTCGGACGGCTCCGTCCTGTCGCAGCCTCTGCCGCTGCTCGAGTACGTCGACCACCAGCGGGTGGTCGTGGGCGACGCCGACGCGGCGGCGAGCGAGGAGGCGGCGGCCGGACTTGGACCGGTGCAGCCGACGCTGCTGCTGGAGGTGAGTGCGGCGGAGGGCGCCTCGTCGCGCCCAAACATGACTCCGCTGGCGCACTGCTACTCGCCGACGCTGCGCAAGCTCGCGGTGGTCAACTCGGACTCGAAGCTGCTCGTGTTCGGCGCCGACAAGGCAATGCTGCTGCAGAACCTCTCGTAGCAGGAGTGCAGGCTCGTGATCCATAAGGAGGGGTTCTGATAGGCGGTGCTGCTGCAGAACCCGCTCCCGCTCGCGGCGTGCGTCTACCTGCGCTTCGACCCTCGTTCGGGGAAGAACCTGGCGGTGGCGCTGCGCGGCTCCGGCGTCGCGCTTTGGAACGGCGAGACGAGCGGCAGTCTCATTCACACAACGATTGCACACAATGAGTGTGCTGTAGTATCATTCACAGGCGAGACGAGCGGGAACCTCAACATGTGGACGGGCATGACCCGGGAGGGGGGACTCTTCAAGAGGTCCTCCTCCGCCAAGCAGAAGGAGTTCGACCCGACGACCGCCTGCTGGTCGATGGCGGGGCAGCTCGCCGTCGGCATGCAGGACGGCTCCTTGCTCTCCCCAGACCTCCCCATCCCTCCCCATACCTCCCCATACCTCCCCCAGCTCTCCCCATACCTCCCCATCTCGCCCCATCTCTCCCCATCTCTCCCCATCTCTCCCCATCTCTCCCCACCTCTCCCCACCTCTCCCCACCTCTCCCCACCTCTCCCCACCTCTCCCCACATCTGCCCACCTCTCCCCACCTCTCCCCACCTCTCCCCACCTCTCCCCACCTCTCCCCACCTCTCCCCACCTCTCCCCACCTCTCCCCACCTCTCCCCACCTCTCCCCACCCCTCCCCACCTCTCCCCACCTCTCCCCATCTCTCCCCACCTCTCCCCACCGGCCTGCAGGACGGCTCCTTCGCGGTGTGGGATTCCGTCTCGAGCCAGGTGCCGTCTGCCGGCTGCACCTCGGCTGCATCTCGGCCACACCTCGGCTGCACCTCGGCTGCACCTCGGCTGCACCTCGGCTGCACCTCGGCTGCAGCTCGGCTCGACCTCCTTGCTGGCCGGGGAGGAGCCGGACAAGGCTTGCTGCTCTCTCCTGCCAAGGTGTCGACGTCTGGGCGGTCGGGCAAGCACTCGTCGCCAGTCACGGCTGGCGACTGGAGGACGTCGCTGTTCGCGCCCGCGCTCGCGCTCGCCTCCACCTCCACCATCAAGGTATCTCGCGGCTTCGAGGCGGCTGAGTGGGGGTCGACGGCGCTCAAGCTGAAGCTGCCCAAGCGGTCGGCGGGAGGGTCGATGAAGAGCCTGCCCGGCCGCGCCAAGGCTCCGGGAGATACGGGGAGATATGGGGAGATATGGGGAGATGTGAAGAGCTTGCCCAGCCGCGCCAAGGCTCCGGGAGATACGGGGAGATACGGGGACGTCGAGGGGCTCTCGACTCCTCCGCCCTCCCTCGCTCAACTCACCGCCTCCTCCCACACCCCCCGCGCCAAGGCGGACGTGGAGGGGCTTCACTTCTCCGCCCTCAAGTTCTCTGGCGGGGGGAGGCACCTCGCCGTGCTCGCGGCGCCAACCTCCGCGCCGAGGCTGACGCAGGTGTGTCTCTGTACGAGATATGGGGAGGTGTAGGGAGAGATGGGGAGAGATGGGGAGAGATGGGGAGAGGTGGGGAGGCTGACGCAGGTGTGTCTCTGTACGAGGTCGAGGCCATCTGCTCCCCCCCCCCCCCCCCCGTCTCTCCACCCCTCCCCCCTCTCTCGCAAACCAGGTCATCCTGTACGAGATCCAGGCCGAGTCCGAGGCGCTGGTCGCCAGTCGCGAGTACGTCGGCGACGGGGTGGGCGGGGCCCCCTTCGAGGTCTGCTGGAGCGGCGAGCTGCTCGTCATCTTCTCGCGCACCGACAGCGGCGGCTCCATCCGCACCATCCGCTCCATGCCCGGCGCCGTCGAGCCGTCGTGGCCGCCCGACCCGCGCGACGCCCCCGGCATGATGACATGCGGCGGCCTCTCGCCACGCGGACTGGTCGCGGCGGCCTTCGCGTGCGGCGAGCGCGGCGAGGTGTGCTGCTCTTCGGCCCCGCCGCCCTCGAGCCATCTCTCCCCATCTCTCCCCCCCTCCCCCCGCCTCTCCCCACCTCTCTCCAGGTGCTGCTCTTTGGCCTCCCCGCCCTCGAGCCGCTCGGCAAGATCTCGACGCCGGGCGTGCCGTCCGACCTGCAGCTGCACGCCCCCACCGAGGCGTCTCGGCACACGCTCTCCGTCGCCTTCGACGGCGGCGGCGTGCAGGTCTGGGAGGTGTGAAGGAGAGGGGCGGCGGCGAGGCGGGGCGGGCACGCGCGCGCGAGATGCCTGTCCATGCGCTCGCGGGCGGCGACTTCTGGGCGGAGAGGTTGGCCACGCCGACTTGCGACGCTTGTCTCACCATGCATCATGTGGCCGGCTCATGCGGATGTCGCGTTGCGGCCGGCCGGTTGGAGTTGCGGGTAGGTACCGCAGGAAAGGGGGCGTACTCCTAGGTACCCCGGGAGGGAGGGAGGGGGGGGGGGGGGGGCGAGGCGCGCACGCGCCAAAAGGCGTGTTGGCCGTGGCATCCTTTCTCGCGCTGTACGTATTTTTACCCCTGTCGTGTCTGCGGTGTGTCTATACGGTTTATACCCCCGGGACCGGGACCGGCGCGGTGGTTGCTGGTTGTGTTCGCCACCTCCCACCCGTCCCACCGCCTGCACTATGTGTCAAAACCCCACTGCGAAATTATTATAAATTTCTCTAGAGCCGGTGACGCCACTGGCACTGCGCACTGGATGACGAATGCTCCACCCTGGCCCCCCGGAAGGCGGAACGCGCCTGGAAATAAGCTGATTTTTTTACTTTTGCAGAGCCGCATGCGGGTTCATGCGCCGACCGGTGCGAAAAATGGGAAGGAGGAGACCGGCGGGGGAGACTCCCCACCTATGCAACACCCCAGAGAGGGGCTGCCATTCTAGGGTACCGCCCAAACTCCGGGCCGGTGTGCGGGGAGCGAACCTTAACGATCGCCCAGAAGCTTTCTGAGCGAACCAATCGGGCCAGGATCATCAGCATATGTCCCCTGCACAACATCGTGGGCGTTTGAGCGGTATTTGAGGAGCACCGCCACTCTGAAGTTCGGCCGGGTCGGTGGTCTGCAGACCCCCCCCCCCGGAGCAGCAGAGGCTCCGTGGGGTCGCAGAGTCGACGCTGGGATTCGCACTCGTCAAACCGTCGCAACACCACGCGGTCCGCACGTACCGCCCACATCCCCTCCACCACTGAGAAGGCGCAGATCGACCGCCGGGCCGCGTAGTCGTCGTTAAGGAGCGGTTTTTGGAGCCGTACGAAGAGGTCCCAGACGGGCGAACATGCGGTTTTTCGATGACCACACGCGATGTGGTATCTGGTTTTTGCTAAAAACGGGCCGCCTAGTGCAGCATCACTAGTACAACACGCAACCACACTGAGAGCTCCACACTAGCCGGTATAGGCGAGCCCCGGCGGCCTCACCGTCGCCGCTAAAGAGTTTAAACAAAACAACTCTCTCTCACAGCAGACAGGCTCGACACAGGTGCGAACTGGCGCGTGCTAGTACTATCACAAGCAAAAGAGAAAGCGAAGCCAAAAACGATTGCGTAAACGGCGTCACAAAGCCCGCCGGTTTTGATCGACAATCGTGAGATTGACCGCCGTCGACCAGAGAATGGCAGACGATGCGTCAGCTTGTGCGGCGCTCGCGCCGCGCAGGCTGGCCCATCGAGGGCACTCTCTGGCGCTGTCCGGGCCAAGCGCGGCGCCGCGCATGCTGCGTGCCACTCGCCGTGGCTTGCGGTGCAGCGCCACTGCAGCCTCGAAAACGTCGCGCACAGCACCAGCATGCTGCCCACCAGGCAGCAGAGTGCTGCACCGGCGTGCAGCGGACGCTGCGGCGCTGCGGCACCGCCTCCCCGCCCTGTCCACGGAGCAGGCGAGCGGCGGCACGGCCTTCCACCAGCTGCAGGAGGTGCGCACTTCCCGGTGGAAGCACAGGATGCTCCCTCCGCATACGCAGCTTTGCGCAGCGCAGCGCACGGGCTGCGCCACGCAAAGCCGACCCTCAGTCTGCCCAAGAGGCTGTCTGCGGAAGGCCTGGCAGCGCGTACTCGCCTCCTCCGCGGCCATGCCCTCCGCCCGGGCGAGCGAGGAGCGGGGACACAACCATTTCTGGAATCGTGTGTCCCCGAAGACGTTATTTTTTTCGCCGCTGCAAATGGCCTCCCACCGCATCGGAGCGCGCGTCGCGGGCCTCTCGCCAGAGCAGCTGTGCGCCATCATCGAGGCGCAGGCGGGCGCGAGCGACGCCGCGCTGCGCGTGGCGGAGGAGCACGCCGCACGGCTCGTGGAGCAGCCCGAGTGGGTGCTCTCCGAGGTCCTCCTCTCGCCGGACCTCGCCCCGCACATCCTCGCCCAGCTGCCAACCAAGGAGCACGCCGTCAAGGGGACGTGCCGCGCGTGGCGCCGCGGCTGGAAGGAGACGCTGAAGAAGCGCGAGAGGCCGCGCCTGCTCGTGTTCGGCGGCGAAGACAGCGAAGGCGAGCTCCTCAACTCGCTGGAGCGGTACGACCCGGCGACGAACGCGTGGGAGGAGGAGGCTGTGGCGCCGATGCCGTCGGCACGAACGCTGTTCCGCATAGCGGTGCTCGATGGCAAGCTCTACGCGGTGGGCGGCATGAATGAGGTTGACGGCGCAACTTCCAACGCGGTGGAGCTTTACGACTTTGCTACGAATTCAAGTGAGACTGTGGCGCCAATGGCAGAGGCGCGGTATGATCTCGCTGTCGGAGTGCTCGATGGCAAGCTGTACGCTGTGGGCGGGTACAACAACGGCTTCCTCAGCTCGGTCGAGCGGTACGATCCCGCGACGAACGCGTGGGAGGCGGTGGCGCCGATGGCGGCGGCGCGGAGCGACCATGGCGTGGCAGTGCTCGACGGCAAGCTGTACGCCGCGGGCGGCTTGAACGTCGAAGACGGCCACCTCAGCTCGGTCGAGCGGTACGACCCGGCGCTGGATGCGTGGGAGGCGGTGGCGCCGATGACGGCGGCGCGAGAGTCTCACGGTGTGGCGGTGCTCGACGGCAAGCTGTACGCGGTGGGCGGCTTCAACAACGGCTTCCTCAGCTCGGTGGAGCGGTACGACCCGACAGAGAGCGCGTGGGAGGCTGTGGCGCCGCTGACGCTGGCTCGCTTCGGTGCCAGGGTGGCGGCGCTGGAAGGCAAGTTGTACGCCGTGGGCGGCAGAATCGAGGACGACGAGGTTGACAGGCCGGCTCACTCGGTGGAGCGGTTCGACCCGGCCTCGAACGCCTGGGAGGAGGTGGCGCCGATGGCGACGGCGCGGGCCTTTCCTTTCGCGCTCCTGATGTAGTGAGGGGCATAGGTGAGCTGTGAGCTGTGGGAGAGAGCAGCATGGACCCGGACGGGACGGACGAGGGCGAGACGAGACGAGACGAGACGAGGCGGACCACGAAATAGTTGGTCCAGCGATGTCCCCCCCTTCCGACGCGCAGTCATTAAAACTCTTTTTGTTCATAAAAACACGAGACCCCCCTCCCCCCCCCTTCCGACGCGGCAAGCGCAGTCCGCAGACGTTAAAACTCTTTTTGTTCATAAACGAAAAAACGACCCCCCCTTCCGACGCGCAGGCATTAAAATTCTTTTTGTTCATAAAAAACGAGCCCCCCGCCGCTGGCGCTGCCTCGGCAGCCAGCCGGACTGCACACTCGCGAGCGAGCTTATGCCCCGCCCCGTTCCGATCGCCGCGCCTGGACTGCCGCCCTTCGGCAGCGCGCCATCGCGCTCCGGCAGCGCGTCCGCGCCGAGGCGCGGGCTCGTCCGCGCGGCTCGCGCCGCGGGATGGAGCGGGTGGCCGCAGGCGTCCGCAGCTCCCGCCGATCTCCCGCTAACGGATCTTACGCCGCCTGTAACCTCTCTTTAAGGTATTGCTAGAAATCTCTCTCTCAGACATCCCGCACACCCGCCGCCCACGCGCGCGCCCCAAGTTGTCCCTCCAACGCCGGCGCTTCTCAATTATTTTTCTCTTGCTGTGTGTGAGACCCACTATCGTCGTTCTCTCTCCTGTCGCTTCATCCTCTGTCGCGTCGCTCTCCTCAGCTCTGCCTCGTCCTGCGACGCCGCCGCCGCCTACCGCTCCCGTGCTCTCTCGGCTTCTCCCGCCTCTCTGCGCAACTCCGCCCTCCTGGCGGCATATTTTGGCCCCTCGAGTTTATCGAGCTCTCCTCGCGCAAGGACGACTCTTCTGACACCCACTCCGACCATTTGCCGCCAAGTCATGTCGTTGCTCAGGTCCACTACCCCCCCCCCCCCCCCCCCCCCCGCACCCACACTCCCAATGGCTCTCACCGCCATGAACGGTGCAGAGGGTTGTCATCTGAGGTCCTCATTAGTAGAGGTCCTCAAAAGGCCACACGAACCACGCCTTGGCTTCCTCTCTCACAAAGGATTGCCACCGAGAGAGTACCGAGACGAGGCTCGTCGACAAACCAGCAGACGCAACCTTGGCCACCCTGGCCACCCTGCCTTTCGGGCCTCCGCGGAGCGGCAGCACCAACAATCACTTTCCAAAGTGGTTGTTCTGATCTGGACAATGCACAAAATCACTTCCGTGTCGTGCGAAGCGTGCAATGGTTCTACATGTTCATGAGCTGCAAGCACAGTCGAGTGCCGCCAGTTGCAGCCCTGCCGTGTCATTCATCATGCGAGCCGCCTCTGCCGACTCCCACACCGCGCGACTGCGACAAGGGACCCGTGCTGTTTCTTATTAACAACAACAAAGGCGCACTAAAAAAGAGAAAACGTGTTCGGCGTCTGAAGGGGAAAAGAAAATCGAAATGCAGGTACCCGTATCGGCGCTGCTGTACAGTCCTATGCCGATGCCAAGGTCTGTGGAGAGAGCTTGCGGCTCACACGTCGAAGCGTGGACGCACGCTCTCGCTCGCCTGACGCGCTCGCCGCACACCGTGTCGCAGCCTGCGGCGCCGCATGTCGTACTGATGATGGCAGACGACCTCGGCGTCGGTGACACAATTTCTCTTGCTCGCTTGCCCGCGCTTGGGCGGCTCGCCAAGGAGGGGACCGTCTGGCGGCGCGCGTACCAGGCCGGCGTCACGTGCAGCCCGAGCCGCGCAGGCATGTTGACTGGCCGGAATCCCGCGCACTACCAGACGTGGGGCAGCAAGGCGCCGTACGAGGAGCCTACCATCACCGGCCTCCTCTCCGCCGCCGGGTACGCAGTTGGCCACTTCGGGAAGTGGCACATACGGGGCTCGCCCTCTTCGTGGCAGCGCCACAATGCCAGCGCCGCAATGGGGATGCACGTCGTGCTGAGCAAGCGGGCCGAGCTGGCTTGCATCGCTCGGCACACGAAGAGGCCCGCGAGCCGTCCGATGCCTCGCCTCAACCCCCTCCATCGCTGCAACGCGTCGGACACCTTCTGCACTGCGGCCGCCTTCCTCGAGGCGACGCACCGCCACCGCCCAGTCT